GATTAACAGTAATAGAAATGAAACTACAGAGAGACCTAAATTTTATTTGAAATATTGCATTTGTTTTTGGGCATTTGGTAAAATTATACTGTGGAATTTTGCATTGAATTTTTTCTTTTCATCAGAAATTTCTACACCGAGACCATCTTCTCCAAGTGGACTACCTGAGGAAGATAGTGTTTTATTTAACAAACTGACCTACTTAGGATGTATGAAGGTTTCTTCCCCACGTAATGAAGTGGAGGCCTTACGGGCAATGGCAACCATGAAATCTTCCAGTCAGTGTCCCTTTCCTGTTACTCTGTATGTGCCAAATGTTCCAGAAGGTTCTGTGAGGTGAGCTCCAGTTTTTTTCTTTAGACTTGTATTAAGTCTTTGGGGTGGTGGTGAGGTTATATCCTAAATCAGGTGTGGAGCTTACGGTGAATTCACTTACGCCCTGTAGACATGCAAAGTATTAATAAATGTTACATTTAGGCTTAGATTGTATCTACCGTTTGAAAGGGGCATTTGCAAAGTTATGCTTAGAATGTTATAAATGGAAATAAAACTGTAAAAATACTTGTAATTTGTGTTTCTCTATTCTGAAGAAGCATAAAAACCTACCTTCAGCTTGTCATGTAATAGTGGTTCAGGAAACCACTATCTAGGAGTGAGTCCTAGATTTAAAGCTATTTACATCAGACTGGAAAGAAGCAAAATGGCTTTTTTCTTTTATGCTTAATTAGGAATAATATATGATGCCATCTTAACCTTGAATTTCTTTAAATGTAAATTAGATAATGTTATTCTCCTATACCTAGCCTTCCAGTAGTCCCCAATCACATTTGTGGTTATATTAAAAATCCTTATCATGCCTGGCCACTGATGACCAAGTGCTCCCACTTGGTCTTCTTCCCCTCTTCCTCCTTCCTTCCCTCCTGTCTTAGCCTGTTTAGGCTGCTATAACAAACTGCCATAGACTGTGTGGTTTATAAACAATAGAAATTTATTTCTCACAGTTTTGGTGTCTGGAAATTCCTAGATCAAAGCTCCAGCATATCTGGTGTCTGATGATGGCCTGCTTCCTGGTTCATGTGTTTTTGTATAGTGGAAGGGACTGAGAGCACTCTTTGGGGTCCCTTTTATAAGCATACTAATCCCATTCATAGAGACTCCTCTTTCTTTCTCATCTTTTCCTTCCTCCTCCCATCTCCTTCCTCCATCATCAAAGAATATGAAGAATTTATGTGTATGTTGAAGATTTTCAAGAATATGAAGCTAATTTGTTTTCTTGCATTATTAGTGCCAGTATACCCCCTCCCTCTCTTCATTTACTACATTCCAGTCATAGTAGCCTCTTTGTTTTTTCTCACAGGGCTTATCAGTCAGGATTCCTGCCTTAGGGCCTTTGCATATTCTTTGCTCAGCCTAAATTATTTTTTCCTGGTTTTCCAATGGCTTCTTCATTTCTCTCTCATTTTACCTCAAGAAACATTTTATCATGGGAAACCTTCCTTGATCACATATGTAACTATCCCTTTCTGTCCTCATACTGGGCCTGTTTTTTTTTGAGACAGAGTCTGGCTCTGTTGCCCGGACTAGAGTGCCGTGGCGTCAGCCTAGCTCACAGCAACCTCAA